CATTCATGTGATCAATTAACGCATTAGGACCTACGTGTGTCTCCATGGAAGGAGGCTTATCTGTTGCTTTTAATGAACTTTGTCATAAAACTTTAGTTTGTATCTGTTTTTCGACACTTTTATGTCATCTAATTAACCTTATGATATTTACACAGCACAATTCTATGACAATCACACATTCAGTTGATAATGTCTATATTATCACATTTAATTCATTGTGTCCATTTTAAACCAAACATAATCTTTTCCAGAGTTACTGTGACAGTTCACTCCATTATTGCTGAGTTATAATGCTTAATGTAAACAAACATGCATATTCCTTCTGCAAAACACAAACACCTTTAAATCTGGTGACCTTTCCGATCATTAGGTCATTACACAACTTCAAACAGTTCCTTCTCATTCAGTTTAACTTTTTATTTAACTTCATTTTGGCTGACCCAGCAAATTCTAGGTTAATATGTACACTGTAAACAGATTGGAAGTGGCTCTGGACTGCTGACTCTCAACCTTGTGCCCTTCATGCTAATTTTGTGCCCTATACCTGTCCCCAGGACCTCTCATATCCTCCATTCTGACACATGACTTGCCATCTCACGCCCACACAACTTCCATCTACCAAGATGCTTGCCACATACCTACCACCTTTTTGCTTTTATATCTTCCATACCAACTCACATAGTGTGCACCATGGGCAGATTACAGAAGCCATGTTAAGTTAGGGTTGGGGAAATAAAATAAGGTTCTACATATCTATTATAGCCTTCACTATATTTATTTTAAAAAAACCTCCCATTTTCAAAAGTCCGTTAAGAATTTTGAACTGGTTTTGACTGGGATTTTGTTTTGGGCAGGAGGCTGTGTGCTCGGAAGCTACTGACTGGGAGGCTGCATTTTACTCTGTAGTTTTTATATTCACTTAGAGAATTGTTGAATGTCTGAGAAAGAATCCCAGTTTATAAGTGTACGGGATGGGCCAAAGGACTAAAAGGTAATGATGATGTTTGACAGATGCATGAGAAAATAGATTGTACAGGATGGGAAAATAGTCTGGGAAAGTTTAGGATGCTACCTGACACCTGTATGACCTTGAATGAGTCCTGTGAACATTCCTTTATGGGCCATAAAGGGCACCTGCAGCTTGCTTTTGCTGTAGCTGTATTTTCTATACTGGCCAGCAGTTTTATCTATTGTATTTGCTGTTTTTCTGTGCTGGTTGCTTCTTACACTGTATATAAGAGAGAGAGAGAGAGAGAGAGTGAGTTTTGTTCCAAATCGCTGGATTTCACCTCGGCTCGAAATCGTGAACTGTGCCAGGAACGAACTTAAGCCTCCAGACCAACCATCGATCGGAGGATCTCCAAAGGGCAGAGGAGCCCTTTTCCCTTTTCTTTTCCATATATTATTACCACTATAATCATTTATTATTACTTAATGAACATTCATATTTAAGCAAATTGTTATTAAACAAGCCTTCTGTTAGTTATATTTACCCAAATCTGAAAAAGAACTGCTTGGATACATGCTGTGATCCCAGACAATAAGAAATATGTGAATATTCCTCAGAGCCTGCTGGAAACGTATTTACGTTGACCTGTGACTTTAGAATTCAAACAAGATACAATCCCATGTGCTTGTAGTAGAACGCTTTGCTCAAGGATTCTATAAAACTCGGTACTCTTTGTTGAAACCGTACTCAACTGGCCAATTACAAGATTTTATTTGTCTTTTTTTCTTTTTAATTTATCCTGTAACTGAATTTGTCTGTGTACCTGTCCGCATGAGAGTGGGGATTACAATCAAAGATCAGGTTTAAATCGTAGACCTTAATTAGATTACCTTGTTGTTTAGCTTTGCTCTGCTAAAGTTACAGTTTCAATAATAAACTGAGTTTCTATTTAAGTAATAATTTAGAGTCTGGTATTTGTTATACGTAAAGACTGGTTAGGAACAACTGGGCAATTTTGAAGGCTGTGTGACAATTGTAATTCCACTATGTTGCAAATTTAGTGATGATTTAGTTTGGCTTGCTATCATAAGAAGTTTATAAATATGCCAGTACCTTAGCGGTAGACAGCCTTCTACTCCTGATAGAAATGTATTCTGATGAAGGATGAATGCCTGAAGTGTCCATCAGTCAGCTCTCACCACAGCAAAAGCAAACTACTCCACAATTTGGAATCTGAGACAATAAAATCGAATGCTCAGCAGGTCAGCTATTATCTGTGGAGAGTGAAATGGCACAATGGCCTCTTCATGAAGCGGGGAAAAATTAACTAGTGAAAGATTTTCACCTGCCTGTATTCCAGCTTAACAGAGAGTAGGAAAGGACAAAAGAGAAGGTCTGCAGTATGGCGGAAGGTGTTAAATGACAAAAAGAATGATTAGTACAAAGTAAAAGGATGTGCTTATGGGACGAATGTCGAAGCAAAAATTGGATCTGGAGTAAATGACGGCACCAGAATTATCACTAACAGCAGCCTTCTGAAAAATGGGGGCAATATTACTATTTGACATTGTTGAACTCAATATTGTAAAGTGCTCACCGTACTTGAAAAATGAACTGCTGCTCCTCCAGCTTATGATCAACCTCATTGGGTGATATAGAGAGGCTGAGAAGAGAATAAAACTGGCAGGTGACTGGAGATCCAAGGTTATGTTTGTGAATTGAATTGAGCTCTTCTACAAAATGGTCACAAAGTCTGCCTTTGACCTCCTCGAGTGTACCGGACACTGCATTGTAAACAGTGAATACATTACAATAAATTGATTGAAGTACAAGTAAATCATAGTTTCGCTGAGACAAAATGTCTGGGGCCTTGGAGAGTAGGAAGGGAGAGGTAAAAATACAAGTATTTCAACTCCTGTACTGCAAGGGAAAGAAAGGGAATGTTGGGTGAGATTGAGGTGTGGACCAGGGTATCGTAGAGGGGACAGTCCGTATACAGTACTGGAAGGAAAAGGGAAAATTGGTGGTGAAAATGGTGGAAGATGATCTTTTACAGACGAAAACTGATGGGGTCGAAGATAAGAACATGAAAAGCTGTATTGTGACTATGGAGAGGAAAAATGGGATAAGAGCAGAAGTTTGGAAAATGGAACTGCTGAGCTTAAGGGACCTGTGTAACATTATTGCGGCGAGCGGGGGGCAGCGGATTCCGAGGTTTAGAACAAAGGAGGCTTATCAGAAGCACTGGCAAGGAATGTGGCATCGTGAGAAAAATGTAATAGAGATGGAATATAGTAGTTACCAGAAGTGAAAAGGGAGGAAGTACAGTTAAAGTAACTCTGAGAGTAGGGCTAGCCTTCCTGCAGAAATATAGACTGATGTCATGGAAGGAAATGGAAGAGAGAGAGGTGAAGGGGGAAATTATGAGCAAAGTTGATTATATTTTCCAGATTTGAGAGAGCAAGAATAGGCACTAAGCCAGTCAACAACATGTGAGTTAACCAAGGTAAGGGAGCCATGATGTGGAGGTGCCGGTGTTGGATTGGGGTGAACAAAGTGAGAAGTCACATTACTCCAGGTTATAGTCCACCAGGTGTATTTGAAATCTCAAGCTTTTGGAACACAGCCCCTTCGTCAATTACAGTGAGAGAGCGGGGCACACAGACACAGAATTTATGGACAGAGTGATCAAAAGATCGTACAACTGGTGTGAGTGGACTGTCGGGTAATAAGCCTGTGCAGGTGACCAAGAGTGTTAGATGGTGAATAAAATGTTTGTAAAGTCAATGCCAGTGCTGTGCTGTCATGTCAATCAGGCAGAGTAAAGCTGCTCCTTTAGAGATGGTCCCTTGTCCTCTCCAGCAAAAATATGATTAATATAAAAGTACAAAATTCTTGTATAATAAACCCTTAGCTCTTCTCTGGAAGAAAATAACTTTAGGCATGTTCTAAAATTTTTAAAGAAAGTGTACTCTTCCTTGTAGCTGTCATGGTTCTGGAATAGGAGTTGTAAAACAAATCATATGCTTGATAATTCACCATTTACTGAATTTACATCTTGCCTTTTTGCTCTGGATATATTGAATTTTGTGGTTGGTCTTAGCTTTTTTTCTGCAAAAGTACAATGTTTGGGTTGCTGGCCTTATTAGGAACTAGATTACTCTAAAAGATTATTTCTTTTAAAGAGCAAATTAGTTCCAGTAACTGAAGATGTAACCATGGTACCTCGGAAGTTAACAATAGTAAAGCAAAGAAATTAATCAAGAAGATAATCATCAGGAATAAATTAGCATGTTTTCTGTTTTCAAGCAGTTCCAGTTTAAAACAAGCTGGCTCCAGGAAACATTTCTTTCAAGCAGAATTCAGTTGAACTTCTGTAAGTTAAGAGAGTTTAAATCTCTTGATAACTAAAGGATTCTACTGTCAATGAGTTAGACTTCTGGCATTGCCAGGATTTGAAAAGAAAGATGTTTCCTGAATGCAAGGCTGCAGTCTTTAAAAACATTACTAACAGGAAAGTTCTGATCCAAGGTGGCTGTGCTTAAAAACATTTAGTAGTGTATTAGTTGGATTCAAAGTCCACAACTCTTGGACAGTTGCAGGGGATTTGAAGGGAAGATGTTACTGCAAGTAACATTATAAAACACAATAAATCTCAATATATATAAATCTATACAGATCTTTGAAATGGAATTTAGACAGGTGGTTAATCCTGATGATTTTCTGGGGTATACGTCAAATGGGTGTAGAAAGAAACTTGAGTAAAAATTTAGTGTGTTCATTTTACTGTTTAAAATATTTGAGAAAAAGTGATGTTAATTTTATTGTTTAATTAGTTTTTGTGTAATAGAATTCTTTAATTTTAAAATGCAAACCACTAAAATACCTGGGTTTTTGGATTTCCAATGTAATTTCAAAATAAATCCAAACAAAATGTTTCTGGTTTCTACCAATCATAACAATAGTTTAGCTTCATTTCAGTTCAAGTAGATTTGAAATATGTCATTATTGGCAACGTAAAATGGTTAAAGCAGAAGTATCTATCCAATAGGAAAGAAGTGGAATCTAGAGTTACTTTGAGTGGACCAGAATTTCAAGCTGCTTTGTCCAGAGAGGTGGCAAAAGAAGAGGAGAAATATGCTCAGCGATTGAAAGGGTATCAAGAAAAAATTGACCTACTAAATCAGCAGTATGTGTCTTTGGAGGATGAATTTCGCATGGCTCTGACCATCGAAGCAAACCGATTTAAAGAGGTAATTAATGATCAAAATGTTTTCATGCAAAGTCTCTACAGTCTATTAGAATCAGTTTAATTTGATTTAATATTTGTGGTGACTATGATCACTGAAGGTCAAACATACTCATATCTGTTTCAGATAATTAAGTACATTATTTTGTTATGTTGTTATGTATTTTGGTTAAATCTTTGGCTGTGACCTGATTCTGTAAAGTTGTACTTCTGATTTATTTCACCAGACATTATTTCAACTCTATTTAAAATTTAATGAAGAGCTGACAACAAGTCAAGTAGCTGCACACAGCACTGACTTAATATTCATTAAACTATTAGAAAAGCAGACAAACTTAGGAGTACATAGATGAATCTTTAAAGTCATGATGACAAGTTGAACAATAAAATGCATGCAAAAAATTTTACTGGCAGGTACATGCAATGCAGAACTGAAGAATTATTGCTAAACTTATTATAAATCATTACTTAGACTGTAGTTTAAAATAAAAATGCCAGTTTTGGGTATCCTAATGCATAAAGAGATCATAGCCATTGAAGGAAAACTGAAGAAATTTAGTAAGGTGATACCTGAATAAATTCGTGGAATATGGGGAAGGTGATGGTATAGCGGTGATGTCACTGGACTAGTAATCCACAATCCCAGATTAATGTTTTGAGGACGTGGATTCAAATCCCAACATGGCAAATGGTGAAATTTGATTTCAATAATAAGCTAGGCCAATGAAGTAATTGTCATTCTCAAACTAGTATATTCACTTCCCTCCACCAAACCAATCTGTCTACTCGGATAAACATCCCACCAGACTCCGCATTCAAAGGATCATTCTCCACCATTTCAGACAACCCAGCAGAATGCCACCACCAAACACGTTTCCCCTCACTCCCCATCTGCATTTTGCAAGGATTGTTCCCTGCAGGACAACCAAGTCTATTCATCGGCCACTAACATAACCCTCCCTGCCCCCCTTCCCACGACACCTTCCTATGTAACCGCAGAAGGTGAAATACCTGCCCTTCACCACCTCCCTGCTCACCATTCAAGGGCCTAAACAGTCTTTCCAGATGAAGCAGCATTTCACCTGTACCACCACCAATCTTGTTTATTGTATTCACCGCACCCAATGTGGCCTACTTTACATTAGAGAATCCAAACACAGACTGGGTGACCGCTTTGTAGAACACCTTCGATCTGTGCACAAACATAACCCCGACTTTCCATAGCCAGTCATTTTTAACACAGTGTCCTGCTTGCATGCCCACTTGTCTGTCCTCGGCATGCTGCAGTACTCCAGTGGATCACAGTGGAGGAACAACATCTCATTTTCAGACTAGGCACTTCACAGCCTTCTGGACTTAATATCAGCACCTTCAAATTCTGAACCAACTCCCATTCCTTCCCTTTCTTTTAGCTTTACTTGTTACATTCTCTGTCACCATGTTCTCTCTTCTCTCCCTCCACCCAGTGGGACTGTCTGTCCTTTCCGGTTCGGCAGATAGACACATCATTGTTCTGCCATTCTCACATTCCAATCACTTAATCAGAACTGTCAACATCCTTTCTCCCCCAGCACTCTACACTCCACACCCTCGCAACTACAGCATAAATGCTGCCCTCTCCACACTTCACTTCAGCTCTAATGAAGGGTCATCTAGACTCGAAACATTAGCTTGCTGTCTCTCCATGGATGCTGCCTGACCTGCTGTGAAATTCAGCATTTGTTGTTTTAAGTACAGATTCCAGCATCTGCAGTAATTTGCTTCTCGATGAAAATGGTCATGGGTTTGGAAGGTGCTGTCTCAGGATCTTTGGCAAATTTCGGCAGTGTATCTTATAGATAGTACACACTGCTGCAGTTGAACGTTGGTGAAGAGGAAGAGGATTTTTATGGATATTGGTACCAGTCAAGTGAGCTGCCGTGGCCCAGGTGGTGTCAGTCGTCTTGGGTGTTGTTGGAGCTGCACTCCTCCAAGCAAGTGGGGAGTATTCCATCACACTCCTGACTTGTGCCTTGTAAATGGCGGACAGGCTTTGGGGAGTTGCGAGCTGAGCTACGTACTTCAATGTTACTAGCCTCGGACCTGTTCTTCTAGCTGCCACATTTGGATAGTGAGTCTAGTTCAGTTTCTGGTAAATGGTAACCTCCATGATGATAGTGGGGAGCTCAGTGATGGTAATGCCTTTCACTGTCAAGGGCTGTGGTTAGATTTTCTTTTATTGGAGATAGTCATTGCCTAGCATTTGTTGGTGTGTATGTTACTTGCCACTTCAGTCCAAGCCTTGGTATTGTTCAGGTTTTGTTGCATTTGGACATGGACTGCTTCAGTACTTGAAGAGTTGTGAATGGTGCTGAGCATTGTGCAATCATTAGCGAACATCCCTACTTCTGAACTTCTGATAGAGGGAAGGTCGTTGATGAAGCAGCTGAAAATGGTTAGGCTTAGGACACTACCCTGAAGAACTCCTGCAGAGATGTCCCTATTCCCTCCCTAAATGAGGTGTTAATGAGAAAGTTATTGCTGAGCATCTGCTGCATGATAGTACCGTTGATGACACCTTTCATCACTTTATTGTTGATCAATAATAGACTGATGGGACAGAAATTGGTCTGGTAGGATTTGTCCTGTTTTTCATATGCAGGACATACCTGGGCAATTTTCCACATAGTCTGGTAGATACCAGTGTTGGAGCTGTTCTGGAGCATTACTATTGCCAGAATGTTGTCAGGGCCCATAGCCTTTGCAGCATCCAGTGCTCCAACCGATTGTTGATATCATATGCAGTGAATCAAATTGGCTGAAGTCTGGCATTTGCGATGCTGGACACCATAGTAGGAAGCTGTGATGGATCATCCACTCAACACTTCTGGCTGAAGATTGTTTGGAATGTTCAGCCTTGTCTCTAGCACTGATGTGCTGAGCTCCTCCATCATTGCTAATTGGGATTTTTGGAGCCTCCTTCTCTAGTGAGTTACTTTTTGTTCACCACCATTCATGACTGGATGCGGCACGACTGCAGGGCTTAAATCTGATCTGTTGGTTGTGGATCACTTAGCTCTGTATATCACTTGCTGCTTATGTTTTTTGTCATTCAAGTAGTTCTGATTTATAGCTTCATGTTGACATTGCATTCTTAGGATTGCCTGGCGCTGCTCCTACTGTGCCCTCCTGCACTCTTCATTGTTATGTTAATGCTAGAGGGAGAGATGTGCTAGGCCATGAGGTTGCAGATTGTGTTGATGTTGCTTGACTAGTTTGTGAGACAGCTCTCCCAATTTTAGCACGAGCCAAAATTTTGGGAGTTTGCAAAGGGATTTTTTTGCCATTGTTGTTTCCAGTGTCTGCGTCGATGCCAGGTAACCCATCCGGTTTTGTTTCTATTTTGAGACTTTCTGGTAATTGAGACAGCTGACTGGTTTACTGTGCCATTTCAGAGAGTAACCTTGAGTCTGGAGGCACATGTAGGCCAAACAAAGCAACCATGGCTTTCTTTCCATTAAGGATATTAGAGAACCAGATGGGCTTTTCCAAAAATAAACAGTGTTTTCCTAGTTATCGCTAGACTCTTAATTCCAGGTATTTATTGAATTCAAATTTCACCATCTGATCAAATTCCACAGATCCTCGAAGGATTAATAGTCTAGCTCAATTAATAGCTAGGTTAACAGTCCTAATACCAGTCATCATACACCTCAGCCATTGTCACTCCTGGTTATCTGGTTAATATTATGTTTATTTGTGGAAATTTGCATATGCAAATTGGTTGCTATTTTTCTAACACTACAATGATGAATCTTCAAAAGAACTTAATTACCTGTCAAACACTTTAGAATATCTTTTGGTTGTAAATGACACTTTATAAAGGTGTGTTGCTTTTATAGAGTAGTGATGGGTGTAAGTACAATTAATATTACCTTTTTTTAATGTTTAATCTGTAATCATGTATTTTTGTAAAAACTCACACAGGTAAAAAGTGGGTTTGATCATGTGACAGCAGACCTAGCAAACACGAAGCAGGTCCTTGCTCAGACACAGCAGAAGGAAAAACAGTCAGGAACTTTGGTTCAGGAACTAACCACCATGGTGAAAGAGCAGAAAGCTAAGATAGCAGAACTGGCAAAATCCAAGCAGGAAACTATTTCAGAGCTGAAGGTAACAATAATTAATAGTTGTTATTCTTTACATTATATCATATACCTGTAATATTGTTTGCCTGATAAATGTTCTATCCACTTTTGAATAAAGTGGATAGACATTTGCGGGATATTTTCAAGCCCAAATGCCAGTATGCCACTTTTACATCTGCATATTCTAACCTACTTGAAGCAGGTGCTGATTATTATTGCAATAGTAATTGCTGAAGCTGTGGTCAACAATGGAGCTGAAACTACTGTAAAGAAACTTATGCTCCTGAAATCTCACTTTTCCTTCATCCCACAATTTTTCTCATGAATTGCAAATAGTGTAACAATACACTTCTTGCTTCCCACACCACTCCCCACTTATCACAAGTTGCTCTTTTGCCTTTTTCCTTGTATATTGGCAACCTGCCTCAAGATGGAGGTTTCCCACATCTGTCTCCCTTACTGACAATGTTATCTCTATGGTGTGATTATAAACCACTCCCAAAAGCAACTTCTTGTCTTCACTACTTCTTGTGTTTCTCCGTACTAATTCTACATCTTGATCTCCTGAACCAAGGTCATCTCTCTCCATTGTATCAATGTAACATTTAATAACAGAGCTGCACCCTCCTGTTTTAGCTTCCGGTCTTCGTTAAATGTCTTGTACTGTCACATATTCAGAAGGACGTTTTATCATCTTGCAGCCGGGTAGCTATCAGATGGGATATGTTTATTTCCATTTGCTGTGTCAGTTCCTCTGTTTTTGTTATGAATGCGACGTGTATCCAGATACAGAGCGTACGGTTCTGTTTTCTTTTTTCTTATCTCTAGCCTTATCTACCAGTGTTCTGGTAATCTTAGGTTTGCGTGTTCTGCTCCTGCCTCTTATAATCTAATCATCATTTTCCTTATTCCTACCTTGCTGTCTTAGTTTGATATTTCTGTTAAATTTAGCACATTTTCCCAAACTTGAACTTGAACTGATACTGTCATGGGCAGATATATCCGTGGCAGGCAGATTTGTGAGGATGAAGTCACATTATGTTTTCACTCTTACTGGACCCTTCACGACCTGCAGCAGATCCAGTCCAGCAGCTATGTCCTTTAGGACCAAAGCCACTCGACCAGAGGTGCTACCTTTTGAGCCACTCGTTGATGAACAATAAAGTCCATCACCCAGAGTATATTCCGTGCCCTTGCCACTCTTGCTGCACAGTCCTTGTGGAGATGAAGTCCCATCTCAGCTTTCAGTCTCAGCATTAATATGACACTGAGACCACCAACTTCACCCTCTCCTGTCTCGGTGTTTACCCCCACCTTCCCCAGCCCCATTTCCCCCTGAACTTTTGCAAACACAGGCAACAGGATGATCTTAGCCCATGACCTCGAGCAACCTGGCCTGCCAACAATGACCCTTAACTGCCCAAATGCCTGATTGGTAGATTCGTTTCTCGTCAGTGGCTCCCACACCTACTCTCCAGATGGTTGAGAAAAGCGAACAAGATGCAGCAAATTGAGTTCAACATTGATATTGGCATTGCTGAGCATCTTGCCCAGTTCTACCACTCATCTTTCCATAGCCCATGTTGCTCAGAGCCTGATAAGATTCTGCCCAAAATGTTAACTCTGTTTGTCCCTCCGTGCATACTGAGCTTTTGCGCTGCTTTCAGTTTTTATTTTTGTTTTTCCACAGTGTCTTATTTTTATCAAGGTGCAAGTAATTTATTTTCTGAAAGAAAGAATGGTTGTCCTTATGTGAAGGATGACAGCTTGCAAAATATGACAGTCAGGACTGCAATTTTAAATGCTATAACATTTTGCTTATCTTAAGCAGAATTCGGTGTATAACATTACCTTGAAGAGAATTTAATGTATAACATTGCATCTGTTGTTCATATCAGATCAGAACTAAACTGTTCCCTTGAGATGGCTAATGAAGAATCATGGGTTAAGATTTAGCTTGGTTCATAATTATTAATCAATTGATGAACTGTAAAGCAATTTAGCCAACAACCTTGCAGTACAAGCTACAAACCTACACAAGGTCGCATCACTGCTACTGCTCATAATTTATCTTCTAACTCCTATATGCACACTGAACACCTGGTTATAGACATTAAATACAGAATCTTTAAATGGTAACTAGATCTTTAATTAGCATTCACAAAGTCTCATTATCATGTTTCATTTTTCCAGTAATTATGCCACTATTTATATGAATTACACAACATATATAGTAGTAATGCTGAATAAAAGCTGCAAATCACCATAAAGATCTACTGATGATCATCCCTCAAATTAATTATATCATTATGGGTTTTGAAAAGTGCTCAGTTACGTTAAATTACCCTGGAAAGGGAAGTTATCTAGAAAATTTGAAAAGTAAGTGAAGTTAGCCATTTTATGTCACTACTATACAATAGCAACGCAGGTGGTTTTCACTACCAACAGAAAGCTGCTGTCAAACCAGAAAGATATTCTGCCTATCAGATAAATAAGGAATATGGTCTATGAATTTCATTGCCGGTATGATGCCAAGTATCTCTGAATAGAGCAGGCTCAAAGGGCTAAATGATCCTATTTTCTATGTTAAGTGCATACTAAAAAGACCGGCAGACCATATTAAACAGCATACCCCTTCAACTGTTCACAACAAGCAAGGTACCGAATCATCCCCAACCAGCTGTGCTTGCAAAAATCACACCACAATGTGTCCAAAAATAGATGTTATTCTGCAATTTGAATTTGCTAAATAAAATACAAAGAATTAAACTGGCAATCAATTTATGATTGTGGGGGTACTTGTGTGTACTGGAAGCCACATATATTAATATACAGTACACTGTTTTGATAGCCATCTCTGCTGCAGCAACATCTGCTTCCTTATTGTTCGGAAGAAGTGTCAGTAGACTCAAAGTATTAACTTCTTTTCTCTCCACAGAAGCTGTCAGACAAGCTGGGTTTCTCCAGTATTTTCTGTTTTTGTTTTTTCCCTAATTGCCAGTGCCTGTCTGACTGAATATGTTGTTCCCAGACACCGCCTACCTGACTTAGAGAGCACACAGCTATTAATATGCTCACATTCTGCAGGTGCAGACCTGGCAGTGGCTACCACTAATGGTGATGCTTCTGAGTTGCCAATCCTGAGTTGGGCTGAAACTCTTGAGAGTGTGCCATTGACCTTGTTGGGAAGTCAGCTACCAGTGGTAAATAGAGCCTCATAATTACACTCCTAATCTCTGACAATGAGGTTCTGTTGCTTCCATATTTTGCTTCAGCAATGGCACTTTTGCTGGTTGTATGGAATTCAACCCATAGAACTTGGTTCCGATACTTTTGAATTGGTTAGCATGAATAGTTTGGACTGTTTGATCTGATATTCATAGCAAAATATAACTTCCATTAAGCAAACCAAATCTCCTTAGCACCAAACCTTGCAATCTAATACCTGATATGCCTGAGATGGACAGTTATTACATTTTTTTCTCTTTTTTGTTTTGTAAGTGATTATGTTCTCCAGTTTCCAGGATGAGATATTAGCCAAAAATGGTCAAGATCATCCAAAAATGGTAACAACTTGTACATTTGAGAATGTTGTCTGGAACAGTTAGTGTATGACCTAATGCGGTCCAGGCAGAATTCCATTGTTCACCTCCTGTAATTGTTAATGTTTGATTCAACATTTGAATTCCAGTGTACTTGCTTCAGTGTGATTCAAACACTGATATTGCAGCCTGAGAAAAAAAATGCTTGTATATCATTTAATGATAATTTGGAAAGAAAACACCATTGCTTTAAGGCATTTTGTTTCTTTTTGATCAGCATTTTAGGAGTTCATTGCCAGTTAGTACACAGTTAGCTTACAATGTAAAGAGTGAATTTCTGTGTATTTCCCAGCTCATAATTTAATTAAACGAACTGAATAAAAGTTGTATTAACATCTGCAGGAATTACCTTGCACATGATTATTCTACAAGTTGATTGTTGAAATTTTCATTTACAATATAGAGCCGGTTGAGGGCACTGGAACACATAGCTGAGGAAGAGAAGAAAAAAACAGTTCAGATTGAACTACTTAAGCAGGAGAAGTCTAGACTGATTTCACAGCTAACTGCACAGGAGTCTGTGATTGATGGCATGCGGGCTGAGAAAAGGATATGGGGACAGGAGTTAGCACACCAAGGTAAGACTGTTTTATTTACCTGCATTGGCTGAAAAAACATATTCCAATGCCAACCTTCATACGCTTAATTTGAAATCCAATTCAAAATTCAAGTCCAAATTCAAGTGAGGACTTGGAGTTAATGGCACAAAGTGATTTTCCAGTAATCCAAATAATAAAGGCTTTACATATCGTTGGGGTCATGAGAAATGGGAAAAGTAGGCTTGAAACCGCTAAGAATTATGTTAAATACCGTAAAGCAACAAAATTTAATGAGGATTTTGAAATGATCAAAAAATTATAGAAACCTTAAGAATATTGGGTTCACTCTGGTTGCATTGGGGGCTAATTGGTAATCAGACCAATAGAATGTACAGTATTGGGTACATGATACTTTAGCCTGCTGATTGACGAATATTGTAACCAGAAAGCACCAGGAGCTAATGGCAAATGCATGTAACTTTCACTTGAAGATCAGTTTTATTCAGTTTCTTTTGCTACTATTTCTCCACTCTAATAACCATGGTTTCCTCCTCCCCCATTTTTTTGTTGGAATCCTGCCTGCTTTTAATGAGTGTTTGTGGAATGCTACTTGCTGTATCATTGAATATAATTGTGTCATTATATTCGCTGATTGATTGTGAAGGAGGATTCGGAGAGAAGTGCACTAGATCATAAGCAGTTGCATCAGAGTTTAGAAATTGCTGAGTGTGTAGGTGTGTAGTACAAGTGTCAAAGCAATATAAAATCAAATTTGTACTTAACAGCACTGATGGATCTCCCACTGCTTCTGTTGGACAACCCCCTCGATTAGAAAACAAAAACAGTGTGCTGGAAAAACTCAGCAGGACTGGCAGCGTCTGTAGAGAAAAATATAGGAGTTAACATTTTGAGAACCTCTTCCACCAACCCCCCCCACCCCGCCACCACCCACCCAAAAGTAACTCCTCTTTGTCAGAATTGAAAATAACTGGGAAAGGGTATTATTTATGCTGATGACAGGGTGGTGGGGGGAGTGAATTAAATATGTGGAGATGGAGTCCAGGAGAGAAAAAAGGGAATAGGCAAATAAAAGATAGCTGGTGATAATTGTTAGGTAGGATGCTAACGAGAAATGTGAATAGTTGAAAATGAGTTGGCTGCGCAGGGGAAGAACCCATCCAATGCAGAGACTAGTGGTGTGGGGGACGAGTAACCAACATGGAGAAGGATGATCACATTCTGATATTGTTAAACTCAATGTTGAGTCCCAAACACTGTAAGATGCCTAGGCAGAAGATGAATTGATGTTCCTCCAGCTCGCATTGAGCCTTGCTGGAGCACTACAGCAGGCCTAAGACAGAAATGTTGGCATGGGAACACTGTGGTGTGTTGAAGGAGCAGGCAACTAGAAGCTTAGGGTGCTTTAATTACGGACGGAGTCTAGGTGTTTGGCAGAGTGGTCACTCAGTCTGTTTTGTCTCACCAATGTACAGGAGGTGACTTTGTAAGCTGTAACTCCTGTAGACTAGATTGAATGAAGTGCAGGGAAATCGCTGCTTCACCTAGGTGTGTCTGGGGCCTTGGATAGTTCGGAGGGAGGAATTGAACAGCAGATGTTATACCTTCTGCAATTGCATAGGAAGGTACCATGGAGTGTGGGGAGGTGTTGGGAGTGGGGAGGGGTAGATCAGGCTGCCCTGAAGGGGACAGGCCCTGAGGAACGTTGACAAGGGAGAGGAGGGGAATATATTTGGTTGTGGTATCCTGCTGGAGATGACAGAAATGGCAGCTTTATAATCCTTTGGATATGAAGAC